AGCAGGGTTGATAATAACCTCATCAATATTAAGCGAAGGAAATTGAGGTCGAAAATTATTAGGAGCTCTGGTTTTCATATATTCAATGCGAGTTGTGAAATTTACTCCAAACATAATTATTATTATCCGAAGAGTCGTTGAGATATAATTAGGCCTATACTAAAGTTGAAGTAAAAAAGCAATGTATAAGCTAGTTCGATGTTATTAATAAAGTAGAATAATTCCGTTTTTAATGATGGGTAGTAATATCTTTATCAACATTTTCAGAATATTTATAAAAAAATGAACCGATGATAATGACAGAAGAAATCTGCAGGTGTTATATTTTATATATTACTCCTTAGATTGGCACCGCTACTGCATTATGGGCACCACTACTGCAGGTGTTGTTATATTTTATATATTAATCCTTAGATGAGCACCGCTAATGCAGGTGTTATTATATTTTATACATTAATCCTTTAGATGGGCACAGCTATTGCAGGTGTTGTTATATTTTATATAATAATCCTTACATTTATTTATTTATTATTTATTAATTTATTCTTTCTCTATATTGTAGGCACTTTCAGTACTATTACACTGATTTCCACAGTGGTACAGTTTAAACATAACAAAAATATATAAAATATAAAGAATTGTTTAACAAAAAATAAAAAGAATATAGGTACCACTACTGCAGGTGTTGTTATATCTTATACATTAATACTTACAGCAGATGGGCACCGCTACTGCAGGTGTTGTTATATTTTATATATTAATCCTTAAATTTATTTATTTATTATTTATTCTTCCTTTATACTGTAGGCACTTTCAGTACTATTACACTGATGTTCACAGTGGTACAGTTTAAACATAACAAAAATATATAAAATATAAAGAATTGTTTAACAAAAAATAAAAAGAATATAGGCACAACTACTGCAGGTGTTGTTATATCTTATACATTAATACTTGCAGTAGATGGGCACCGCTATTGCAGGTGTTATTATGCTTTATATATTAATCCTTAGATGGGCACCGCTATTGCATTATGGGCACCGCTATTGCAGGTGTTATATTTTATACATTAATCTTAAGATGGGCACCGCTACTGCATTATGGGCACCACTACTGCATGTGTTGTTTTATTTTATATATTAATCCATAAATTTATTTATTTATTATTTATTTATTTATTCTTTCTTTATACTGTAGGCACTTTCAGTACTATTACACTGATTTTCAAAGTGGTACAGTTTAAATATAACAAAAATATATAAAATATAAAGAATTGTTTAACAAAAAATAAAAAGAATATAGGCACAACCACTGCAGGTGTTATTATATCTTATACATTAATACTTACAGTAGATGGGCACCGCTACTGCAGGTGTTATTATAATTTATGGATTTCAAAGGCTTATTTAATCGATTTTAGAGTCTATTAATAATATGTAGAAGTGGAGAGGGGGGGGAGGGGGGGGGGGGTGGAGAGGAGTGGCCCCGGTCCCTCTCTGGCAACGCCCCTGATGCTGTCTCAATTATAGGGGGTTTTTTTTGCCTGAATGGATGTAATATAATTAATGAAGTACTGGTACTGGGTATTTATATTGCGCCTTTCCCTTGTGGTTATGAAGCGCAAGCCAACCCTAAAAATTTTTTAGAAAAACAATGGTCGACATAAAATTGGTCATTAGTCAAGAACCCCATGCATCACAATAGTACAGTCTCACAACAAAAACAAACCAAATAATACAGATTACAACTTTGAACAAGTACAGTATAATGGAGTGTTATTCTTATTAGTAAAAAATCTATCCAAATGTTCCATATGTCATTTATACGGATCAAATACGTCAAAAAAATACTTCAAACATAACTTGAATATGGAACAAATTTGAAATTATTTCATTTTTACTATAGTTAAGTATCAGTAGCTTAGGCTTATTTATCGTGAATTGATTCACCACGTAAATAATAATCTTCCGGCCCCGAAATCTAGACTCAGAAATACCGGGATGATGTCCGGCGTGGGATAAAAAGAATCTTTAATGTATGTTAAAACAGCTGTTTTTAATATAAGTTCATCATCTGGTACGTTATTTGACTGCATCTGTAATAAAGCAAGAATTAACTAAATATTTAAAAAACTGCTAAGAAATAAATTCAGTACTACTACGACAAACATAGTATATTTTTAGGCAACTTGATAAAATTCTTAGTGATACTGTACATCACATCCAGAGCATAAAAAAATATTCTGTTTTATAATGATTGTAAAAGATAATATAATATACCGTGGAATCCGAAAATATAGTTTATTTCATTGAATACAACACATAAAATTGGGCAACTCGTGTATATATAAACAGACATTGTTTTAATATTGTATTGCATCAATCGTGTAGGTCTAATTACAGGCCATATTTTAACCTGCGACGCTAAAAATGATCCGTTTAAATTACATTTGTCAGTGATATGGAAGTCTCCGGAGAGACTGCAAAACTTCAATAAAGAAACCTTGAAAATATATTTTTCTGCGTGATTTGTTAAACCTCTAAAAGTTTGTCTGGGCCCCTTACATAGGTCGGTAGAAATCTTCTCTGTAAATGTAAAGTTTTCTTGCGTAATACCGGCAAGAATACGATGTATGTAAGGACATAGTTTATTAAAAATGGGTTTTCCATCGGGACCACCAACCCCACTCCTCCGCCATGGGCAAGGTGAGGGGGTGGGGTGGGATCGTCGCATTTGGCCGGACCAATAAAAATTGCTTCCGACGCTCCTGATTAATCCTGGGGACCGCTACTGCATATTACGGGCACCACTACTGCAGGTGTTGTTATATTTTATATATTAATCCTTAAATTTATTTATTTATTTATTATTTATTTATTTATTTATTCTTTATACTCTAGGCACTTTCAGCATTATTTCATTGATTTTCAAAGTGGTACAGTTTAAACATAATAAAAATATATACCATATAAAGAAATGTTTAACAAAAAATAAAAAGAATATGAGCACCACTACTGCAGGTGTTGTTATATCTTATACATTAATCCTTAGATGGGCACGGCTAACTGCAGGTGTTGTTATATCTTATACATTACTCCTTAGATGGGCACCACTACTGCAGGTGTTGTTATATCTTATACATTACCCCTTAGATGGTCACCGCTACTGTTATATTTTATATATTAATCCTTAGATGGGCACCGCTACTGCAGGTGTTATTATATTTTACATATTAATCATTAGATGGGCACCGCTATTGCATTATGGGCACCACTACTGCAGGTGTTGTTAAATTTTATATATTAATCCTTCGACGGGCACCGCTACTGCATTATGATTGGGCACCACTATTGCAGTTATGGGCACCGCTGCTGCAGGTGTTGTTATATTTTACATATTAATCCTTAGATGGGCACCGCTATTGCATTATGGGCACCACTACTGCAGGGTGTTGTTATATTTTATATAATGAATCCTTAGATGGGCACCACTGCATTATGGACACCGCTACTGCATGTGTTGTTGTATGTTATACATTAATCCTTAGATGGGCACTGCTATTGCATTATGGGCACCACTACTGCAGGTGTTATATTTTATATAATGAATCCTTAGATGGGCACCGCTACAGCATTATGGGCACCGCTACTGCAGGTGTTGTTATATTTTATACATTAATCCTTAAATGGGCACCGCTACTGCAGGTGTTGTTATATTTTATACATTAATCCTTAAATGGGCACCGCTACTGCAGGTGTTGTTATATTTTATATATTAATCCTTAGACGGGCACCACTACTGCAGTTGTTGTTATATTTTATACATTAATCCTTAGATGGGCCCCACTACTGAATTATGGGCACCATTGCTGCAGGTGTTGTTATATTTTATACATTAATCCTTAGACGGGCACCGCTACTGCATTATGGGCACCGCTACTGCACCTTAAATTTATTTATTATTTATTTATTTATTCTTTATTCTGTAGGCACTTTCTGTACTACAGTATTACACTGATTTTCAAAGTGTTACAGTTTAAACATACAAAAAAATATACAATATAAATAATTGTTTAACAAAAAATGAAAAGAACATAGGCACCGCTACTGCAGTAGGGACACCACTACTGCAGGTGTTGTTATGAACACCCTAAAATTGAATATGGATATGAACAATATGAAATAATTGCCTGACTTATTTATTCTCAGTGCCCCTTAGCTGGGTCAATGCTACTAAAAACTGGTTTATCCACAGCAGACTCTCCTATAACTATAATACCATTACACGTAATAATACCTCTATTGACATATTTTTTAACAGCATTTCCACGTTTAAATCCAAAGTTGCTACCAATATAGGCCTTTCTTTAGTTAAGCTAAGGACTCTCTTTATTGCCAATTTGTTTCCGTTGTATGTTATTGTTTGTATTTTACTATATTTTATATATTGTATGTTTAAGACATCCTGTAATGGGCGATTCCGCTGTTGGATGTAATTGAAGTCTTAACTAGACTAGGCTTAGCCTATGCCCTACAGTAGGCATAGAGAAGTAATGCGAGGTAATTTATTAATATTATTATTAGGTAAGGCATACTTTAGGCTTTGGACTAGACTTCATCAAGTTGTAGCCTATCATAGACATGGGCCTGGCGAGGCTACATAGGCTATTCATTGTTTATTAGGCCTACTGCCGCTGGTGGTAGCTCCTGTTGATATCCTTTTGTACTACTTACAAGGTACAGTACATACAAAGAATACTAGGCCTATAATTTCACTTTGTTACTTTACACAAGCAGAAAAAAAAGTTCGCATGTAGGACAGCAGAAGTGTGTGTTCACTGGACTTTGTCGACAATAACATACAGCGCTAGGTGAAATGAATATTCAATTTGTATTGCTACTTAATTATTCATGAACCTGCAGTATAGCGTCGCCCATGTAACGCTTTCCGTATACAGTCTAGACCGACACGCGACAGCATTGAAAAATATTTAAAAATACATTATTTATAAACTACCCCCTCTTGCGGAATCAATATGGCGGAAACTAAGGACGCCATTATTAAGTACATTTGCAACCTATCGTAAAATAATGGAAGCGAAATTTAGTTGTAATTGATAATGCAATTGACATTTATATCTTTTATGGTTTCCAAGGTAAACTTTAAGCATTTTATAGATAATATGTAGTGTAAACGTAGACGTAAACTAGGTTAGGCCTAGGTGGTACTGGCCTATCTAGGCCTAGGCTAGGCCTAGGTAGTAGGTAGGTAGCTAGTAGGGTAGGGGGTGTAGGCCTACTACTACTAGGCTAGGCCCCTAGGCCCTAGGCCTATACTTATTACTACTACTAGGCTAGGCCTAGTACTGTACTAATTGGGCATTGGCTAGCCTAGGCAGTTTTAATTAAGCGTCGGACTATCCTACTACTACTACTACTAGGCTAGGCCTAGGCCTTTTTTCTAGGGTAGTGGTGGGTTTGTCTAGGCCTAGCCTAGTAGGCTGGGCTCGCTTGGGCCTAATATAGTAAGCGAGTTTAATAAATTCCATCTACAAACTAAAGTGCTCCCTCTTATTTAGTGTTCTAAATACTTTTGGCAGCTCACAACTATTCATCAAATATAAATATTAGCGCAAACCTTCAAGTGATTTAATTCCTTCTCTTTTCCTTTTCTGCACAGTAACCATCTATTCTTAATTACAGTAGAATAGAATTATTTATTACCTCTAATAAATCCATCTCAAAATCATTATCCTGTCCAACCAGAAGGTCATCACAAGTTTCTATGATGGCAAGGGTCCAGGGCCCAGTAAAGGTTCAGGGCCGAAGACTGATATAGCTTCTGCCTTATTACACATTGAATTACTTTTGGAACACACACTTAATGAAAGTATCAATGTTAGAGGTCTGGCTGAAATTTGTGAGGGCATTTCAATTGATTTAGGGCAAGGTTTTGGGTTGAGAAAAAAAACTGCTGGTCAAATAAGCTATAAGAAGGCAATTGAAATCAAATTACCACTCCATTCAACAGAGATTGTGTGTTACAAATTAATAGTGCCAGTATATAATTTCCTGTTTTTAAATGTTTGCACGAACAAGCATGCTCAGGTGAAAAATAGAAAACTTGGCTTTTAGTAGACACTATGTCATGATGTACTGTAGCAATTAAAGATGGCGGAAAAGTGTAAATCCAGTTTAGGCATGATGGGTACTACTAACACGAGGTAGGGGGTGCTCTATTGACAATCGAATACCGTCCGGAACTCGAACAAAATTGTGTTCGAAACTCGAACACGCGTTATAGAGACGCAGGACGCGTTCGCCACGAACGCCTTTTACCGTCATTTAAATCCAGATAATACACACATCTGCATGATTGAAGAACATAAAATAAAATTTAAAAAAAACAAAAACTCCTATATAAGGCAGTAGACACACGCTCCCACTGGGAATCTATTTTTAGAGTTAATCTCAGTGTGCTGCCTCATCATTACCTGTTACCAACATAATTATTATATTCTGTTTCTTGAATTAATGTCTTCTTACATTAACATATCAACTGTCTTTTACTTTCTTGAGGCTCCAATACAGTAAGTATATGAATATTAATATACCTGCAGGTTTTCCTCAGCAAATTGAAATGTTCCATCCATGCATTTGTTAAATTCCGCCTTGATTTCTGTAACAGTATTTTATATGGTCTTCCAAATACAAAACTGTCTGAAATTCAAAGGATTCAAAACATTGCAGCTCACTTAACCAGAACAAATACTTATACACACATTACACCTATCCTTAACGATCTCCACTGGCTATCTATAAAGAAACGCCTCATCTTCAAAGTCGTGCTAATAACATTTAAGACTATTAACACCGAGGTCCCAGCTTACATCAGAAAATCAATTATAATACATCACCCCACACATACTGTAGATTAAGATCATCATCACAGTCGAGCATTGTTGTGTCTAAGACAAGCACAGCATTTTATGGTGATAGATCATTTACATTTTCATCATCTAACCTCTGGAACAATCTTCCAGAACACATTAAACAATCTTGCAGTTTATCTATTTTCAAAACATTACTTAAAACTTAGACTGGCTTACATTTTCTTTTAAGGGCCCTATCTTGGTCACCATTTCTAAGAACCCGATCGTCTGTGGCAGGGCAATTGTGTATCCTGTTCCTTTGTTCGAGTCACCTAGGTATTGGTCTGGGATTACGCTACTGTAGAGTGGAGTCGGGTGACCCCTTGAAGATTTTGCATTTTTGTTGAACCAGTTTTATGTTTTACTTAATTTTTTAAAAACTTTTTTGTTTTATGTGAAGCGCATAGAAGCTTTTGTCTATTTCGTTAATACTTACCTGAATAACCGACTAATTGCCATTGTTCCCAAAATGGAACACCCCTTCGAAAAAAATGGAGCAGTCTGACCCAAGGCGCCACGTGCGAACCGTCTCCCTAACAAACGTCCTCATTCCCTTTTCGACGTTGTTCGAAGTCGGATCATCTAGCCTTTGAAAACTAGCAGGACTTTTCAAGCAATTCTGTTCTCCTTGGATTTATTTTTGCCTTGGATTTATTTTTGCCTTGGATTTATTTTCAACTAGTGGTTGACAAGATATCCTTTTTATTGTAGTCTCGATCGGTTTCCATGTCCGCTCGCAAGTCTTTATGCTCGGCGTGTGGGGGCCCCAAACCGAGTGTTAAGCTCGACCGGCACTCGGAGTGCCCGTTGTGTCGCTCATGCAGCAAGGCTGAGCCTTGCGAGATTTGTGCGGGCTGGCCCCCGACTAAGTTTGCGGCGGCTAGAAGCTTTTGCATTATATGCTATATAAATGTAACATTATTATTATTATTATTATTATTATTATTATTATTATCTGCCATTTCTATGTAATGAATTAGCAGTTGTCGATTCCAAGATATCAGTTGTGAAATTTTCACTAACAGCGTTTCAAAACCACACGTAACTATCTGGGTTGACAATCTTTTGTTAAATCATTTTTGATGAATGTCCCAATTCTCTCTTCTTACTGAAATCCTACCTGCTTCATTGGGGGTTCATACAGGCAAGCAACTCATCACATTCAAAATCAGTTCTTTCACATTTAGTAAATTTTTTTTCTTGACATGTTCCACAGGCTATGGAATAGAATTCAAGTATTCTGTTGTTAATAACTCCCTTTCAAAAAAAATGTTCATACTTGTTGTGAATATGGAGCCTCCAAAGCTGGTTAAAGCTACTGAAACATTATTTTGATATTATTTACCTAAGGAATTAGATCACTTCTAAAACCTACAGTATTTAAAAAACATGAACTTTTTTTCTTTTACTTTATTTAAAATGTTATTTTTTATGATAGGCATATGAATAGAAATACATTTAATTACCACAATTTAACAAGCAAGTAACATCAATAAAGCTTTCTTAATTTTCAGAAGTCAAGTTTATTATTAATACAGGTCACATCTAATACACAAGTTCTATTTTTGCCAGGTTACAGTGAAAGTTTTCCTGAATTTTTTTTTATTACTGCATAAGAGCAAAACAAGGTTCCATCCATTTAAGAATACTGTAACTTACACTGAACAAATTCATTTCTGTATCTATAATTATGCTCTATTTTAACTTTTTTTTGCTTATGTATCCCCCTTTTTTAAACAAGAATTGTGGAGTTTCTTGTACATTGATCATTGTCTATGCCTATTTTGTAAAAGTATAAAATGATTTTCTGTACCTCCGAGTCTTCTGCAGCTGAGCTACGAACAAACTGATTGATTTAAAATAGGATTAATTGTACCTTTCACAGTTAAGTGTTCACATTAAGAGTTTGCAACGTTGTTGTGACTCCCTACTAGCTATCAATCACCGGCTTTTATATCATTTTTGTTGCTCACCTTAGTGTGCTTTTCCATGCAATAATGTAACAACAGGGAGATTATTTATTATCGAAAATTGTAAACCACAATGTCTTGCGATAGATTACAATTTCCCATAATCCTCTTCCCAGTTTTCTTCTTTGATTTCCCCCCCAAAAAAAAACACTATCAGAAAAGGTACAAGAGTAAAAACTATCGCATACCATCATCATCGTTATTCACAATTATCAATATCGTTGCTGTCGCCCACGTTTTTGGTTATTTACCTTTACCCTGCCAAGTTACATTTAAACCAGCAATTGAATGTTGATATAAAGATAATATTGGTCCTTTCAGTTTCTGAAGAACAGTAACACAACTTTAGGATAACATTAACAGTACCGGTACTTATTTTTCTCTTTATTAAGGACATCTAAGATGACTAAAGATTTATCAAATCTAGGCTTGAAGAAGATCAATACCACTATAGGGGAGTTGGCCGATATTCACCAATACTCAACGCTGATACTAGACAACAATGTAATTGGCAAGATTGAACAATTAGAATCATGTCAGGATCTGCAACAGGTGAGGGCGCAATAGCACTGTATCATCTTTTCTGGATTTGCCACTTAGAGTTGACATAATGGGAAGCATTAATTGATCAATATAAATGCATTTCATGTTAAAAGAACATACATCATATTGTATTGGGCCTTTGGGATATGTTTTAGCTGTGACACACTCTCATTTAGCTAATCTAAAGCCTTACATCTAAGGTATTTGCGTTCCATTCCCATTTTCCTGAGTTCATTGACTGCCAATACCAAGACTATTGACATGATTGAGTATGTTCTTCATAAAACTTTTTAAGCCATATTTCCGCAGCTCTTATTACCCGATAAATTATCGGAAAGCAGCGATTATGTTATTTTTCGCTGAAAAAACGGGGTGATCCATGGAAGAAAGACTAAATATCCAACTACTCAATATTGTTGGAATATAATAATATATTGCCTATGTCTTTAATTTTTTTTCTCTATGTATAGGCCTAAGAATGAGATAAATTACCTGACCTTTTTCAAGAGGGGAAAAACCTTGAATTTTGAAGAACTTAAAGGTCATTAAAAGACACCTCAGAAGTCGGGAAAGCTCATTTCCGGCCATCTAGGAATCAAAATTTTCCTGGGCGAGGACCCCTTGACAATTTGGGATATTTTGGAAACATTTTGAAACCCCACCTCTTTCAACTCCTGTATCCGCCCCTGTGTTAAGTATAAAGAAGAAAGCCTGAAACGGCTGTGCTTGACTCGATGGTGCCTGGCTGGACCTAGGTCTATCCCTAATTATCGTTTATTGTACTGTAAAAAAAGCATATCAATGGGCTTATTCGTTGAGTAGGAATTTTTGTTGAGTATTATTTTCATTCGACTGGTTTTTTGTAAAATAGACTTTAATAGTTGACAACGAAAATTAACGTAACCAGAATGCGTTAATCAGCGTTAAATTATGCACGTGACCTAAAAAAATATGGCCGATTGGTCAGTTTAGCAACAACATTTGCGTTAATATAATTTAGATTAAATTTCAGAAAATAAAAATTATAATATTTACCCACAATGAAGTCAAAAAATAATTGTAGGCTAACAGAATTCAAAAACTGGATAAAAACAATTTTTTTTACAAAAAAACCCATACTGCCACAATCTGAAGTAGCCTTGATTACGCAGTGTGTATCGCGGTAGTATGCAACCATTTTGTTTTGTCGAGTATTTACCAGTTTTCTATTTGACTGGTCATCTTCGTTAAGTTGGTCACCTAGGTCAACAAAATGGATGTTTTGATGTTGAACACATTGCATTGTTTTCCATAATTTTGCAAGATGGGATAAAATATTTAGAGCGAATTTTAAGATAATTTATCAGAGAAATTGTCGGAGAAATTATAAGTGCTGCGGAAACACAGCCTAAGTAATTTTCATGTAAAATGCTCATTCAGAAATTTGGGTCCTAACTTCAGACAATTAGAATGGAAATTTTTCTATGTGTGGCTCAGATAACAATTCTGAAATTATTATGAAATGCTTCTGGGCTATTAGGCCTTCCTCTGTGAGGGGCTGTTAGGCCTTCCTCTGTGAGGGGCTATTAGCCTTCCTCTGTGAGGGGCTATTAGGCCTTCCTCTGTGAGGGGCTATTAGGCCTTCCTCTGTGAGGGGCTATTAGGCCTTCCTCTGTGAGGGGGGGCTATTAGGCCTTCCTCTGTGAGGGGCTATTAGGCCTTCCTCTGTGAGGGGCTATTAGGCCTTCCTCTGTGAGGGGCTATTAGGCCTTCCTCTGTGAGGGGCTATTAGGCCTTCCTCTGTGAGGGCCTAGTTCTGTTTGAATGCAGGCCCACCATCTCCGAATACCAAAACTAAACCAAATTTTGTTATAGGATTGGGTGAGTAATTTTGGTGTAAATTTTAAGTTTGGTCCTTCTGTTTGTGATTGGGTAGCACATCGGAAGACAATCCATTACTCTTTCTTAAGACTGTACTGCCCGGTGTATTGCATTCTTTAACACCTACATGGGTCGTATTGCACACAGGACTAACAGCACAACATCTCATCTGAAAGACGGGGCACTATCGTAAGTTGTATTTCACCTGAAACACTAAGAGAACAAGAGAGTGGCAAGTGGAATTGAACCATGGACAAGATCTGAAAGGATATTTGCAGGTCAGACAGAGCAAAGTGGCTACCATCAGTTTTAGTGAATTGAACTTAGCTGCTGTGGGGTTATTCTTAAGGAACTAGGTGCTGATAATATTAGAGCCAATACCATGCCATTTTTGACAAGGACTTGGAAACCATTGCACTTTGTTCAAGATCTCTAGATATGTTAGAAACTTTAGACACACAAGAAAAAAAATCAAACTCAATCGGGCCAATATTTTGGAAATACCGGTGTTGTAAAAAGACTGGTATGGTGCACTTAAACATGACCGATGTCATTTTTAAATTCTCTAATAATTGAAGTATAATTTTTTTACTGGTCACAAATTACTATAACTATCAGTACTTTTAACTTTTTGTGTAGGTTTAGAATCTGTACAAAAGGACTTTTCACTTTTGATCAATAGTGCCTTCAAAATGCTCATTAACAATAACAGGCTTTTGGCTAAATTGAACAGGAAGCCAATGACTCATATGAACAGAAACAAATCATAAATACAACCAAATGGATGCATTGATTTCATAAATCAGACAAATTTATGTTGCTGATGTGAAGGATTTTCACTTCATTAATGTATATAGACTATCATAAGTAGGATTTTAAAATTCAAATGACAAGAACTGAAAAAAGGACTTTAGTCTATTTCCAGGAGCTAATTTTGACTGAAATAGTGAATGATTAATGTTTTCAGTTAATGTATGTTGTACTAATGGGTTGTAATTGTTATAAAAAAAAACAAAAAAAAAACAATAATTGTGTACTACTGTAATGTACTATCAAAAGTAAGACTGATGATAGTACATATACTGTATTTCACAAGGTGTTACATAACACTCCTACTCTCTTAGGGGCAAAACCGAGGGCTCCTAACCAAAAGGGGTCCCGAGCTCCTCCAGGTAGAACCTTGACCAGTCTTTTCAGCCATGAAATTAAGTAGGCAGATTACTCACCCTTCAAAGTATTTCTGAGCAAAAATACTTTACTGACATGCAAGGGCTCCAACATTTTCTCGCCCCAGCCCCATTACTAGTAGTTACGCAATGATTTCGATTCGAAACTAAACTGGAATTCTAATACTGTGTAATTATGTAAAAAAGCTAATCAACGTTTATTCTTCTTGCATAAACTTAAGTCATTCAATGGTAGTTCTGAAGTTTTAATGTTGTTTTTTAAAAGTGTAATTTTTAGTGTTTTAGTTAGCAACTGTATTTCATATGGTTTGGAAATTTAAGTAAACAAAATCGCAGTAAAAATCCTCAGGATCTTGAAATCGGCCGGTAAGGTCATTGGATCCGAAGTTGAGAGTTTTGAAGACATCTATAATAAATCTTTACTTAAGAAATTAGACATCATTATTAAAGATCTTTCCCAACCCTTGCATCATGAATACACATCTAACAGAACAGATTTATATTTATTACAATTAGCATCAGGAAAAAGAATTTTACTTGTGAATTTTAAAAAGTACCATACAGGTGAATAATTAATAACCGTATAAACATGATTAAATTGGAAATTTTTAAAATTTAAAAAATATATTGCATAGATAAACAAGGAGGGAGAAAACATGATATCGATTATATAAAAAACAATGAAAATACTGTACAAAGGATTTGAAATTATCCACACAATTAGAATATTGAAAATTTAGAAATTTATTATTGCATACATAAAAATACAAATAAGTATACAAATATATAAATACAACAGAACACAGAATGCAATGTCCAAAGGTAACACACATTTAAAATACAATACATAAAAATCATAAACATAAACTTTACAAAAACAGCAAGGATATAAAATGTATCAAACAAAAAATAAACCAAGGAATTAACCCACACAGAAAATAAGCACTTAGGTATTATGAAGTAAAGATTATGATAAGCTGGTTTTGAACAAACTTAGGCTGTGGTAAAAAATATCAATTAAAAAATATAATTATGTGAAAGGTTTTTAAAAAAGAGAGCCAGGCGGTGAATAAAACCATTTTTAGTGCAAATGAATTGTTAAAGGGTACCATAAATAGGTCAATACAACCTAAAGTATAAAGTATATTAATTAGTGTTTTCTGTTTGCATAATTTCTAATTAGCTGTCCACAACATCAGGGGATTATTTGCTATGAGCTAATCAGAAATTATATAAAAAAAAAATAATAATAGTTGCACTTTTAAGTTTTAATTATATTTTATAATTAAATTTTATAGATTTCTGTGAAATTTAGCAATTTAGGTATTGTTACGTAATTGGGTAAAATCATGTCTATAATAACTTTAAAGACTAAAGTCATTATTTTGAATCAGGTTGCTTCCTTTTAATTGTGGTCCCCAATTCAATTCTATCCACTGCTCTTCTTGTGTTTCAGCTGAAGGTGCACAATATTTTGACGGAAACAAGCTGTTAGACTTGTGTGCAATATGGCTGATGTGTGTGACCACAGTACAATCTTTAGAAAGGAGTAAGGGGTTGTCTCCCCCTTGTACTGTGTACTCAATTCAGCTCCAAAATTCCTTGTGCATTAAATAATTCTTCAGGCATCATAGATTATATTTGGTGTGTTATGCCAAGGCAATCTAATCTATTATACTGTGATTCACCAATGTATAAATCACAGTCAGTGCTAAGCTACCAGCTTTGATTACTGCAATATTGTGTGGGGGAGATGAAGCAAGATTCTAAAGCATTTGCCAGTTTTAAATAGTATAAAAATGTGAATCATCGAAGTATGCATGCATTTGAAAGTGTTCTAAACTTAGTTTAAAAGGGAACTTTAATTCCTAATTATTTATTTAAAAAAAAAAAAAACTTTTTAATTTATCAAGGCAATAAGGATAAAACTAAATCGATAGTCTGTACAATAGCCAAATAGAAAGATACATTAAAAGATAATATCCGGTGCCTATTAAATTGTGGATTAATTTAGACAGGACCAGAAATAATAACTGTTGCTGTCAAAAATGTTAAAAAGATATATTGGCTTAGTTCAGACTAGGTTGATAAACCCGGCTAAACTCACCGGGTTTATCCACCTGCCAGTCTAAACTAGGTTGCTTATATTTTGAAATAAATTCATTTGGATCCAAATATAATTTGTATGAAATTTTTCATTAGTGTTGATCCAGCAAAATAAAAAACAATAGTACTCACACTATGTTTCGCGAACGATCCGTTCGCTTTTTCAAGTAGACTGGTGATGTTATTTCCAGTCTGGTCTGACGTCACCTCGATGCACTTCGACCTCAACAGCACCGAGGTGACGTCAGACCAGACTGGAAATAACATCACCAGTCTACTTGAAAAAGCGAACGGATCGTTCGCGAAAGGTAGTGCGAGTACTATTGTTTTTTATTTTGATGGATCAACACTAATGAAAAATTTCATACAAAATAGGTTGCTTATCTTAAGCCGGGCTGTGTTCCTATAGAAGCTAGGCCCGGCATGCCACCGTGTTTAACTTTTCTAAGCCGGGCTTTAATCATTGCGGGGGGTCTTGCATTGACTATGACCAATCTGCATTCAATTACGTACGCTGTGAGCAAGCATACGTTTCGCGAGCAATTGAATCACGTTTCCTGGTCACGGTTCATTATTATGCAATGCTCGCGCCTGGCTAATCCTGCTAGTCTGAATGCCCGGCAAAGTTAAGCTTAACTCAAGCCTGGCTTATATCCAATTCTGAACGTAGCCATTATTTACCAAAGTTCAAAGACTTTTTAGTGGAACCTGCTTCTATTATTCTACTGTATTGCTTTTCATCTTGTCTTTTTTTTTTTCATTATTGTTTGTAGTTTGTTTTTGTCATAATAATTAAGTTTGTTTCATTAGTGCAAAATACAGTACAGCCTTGTGGATGAATGTCTTCTTGGTTGATGAGTATTCATTGAATAAATACATTTTACTATTATTTTAATAAAAAGATTAATTACTTTATTATCTTATTACTAATACCATTATCATAGATTGATTGAAATAGTTATTTAAAAAATTGCTGTTGGTGAAATTTTAAAAAATGATAATTTAATCAATAAATGAATGATAAATTTGATTTACAGTAAATTACGATAACAAAATTAATAGCAACATTATATTATTCTATTTTCATAATTTCTTAATTAGCTATCCATAGCAAGCAACCGACTGGTACGCATGAATGGTGTTGCAAAGCTACGAAACCTGCGTGTTCTCAACTTACCCAACAATAGCATCCAAAGTATCGATGGTTTGAAGGATTCACTGCAACTGGAATGGCTTAATTTATCCGGAAATAATATAAAGGTATGATCAGTATATTCATTAGTTAGTGACTGATTGGATGATTAATTTAATTAAACCATTTATTCACCTAGTTAACCAATAATTTCAATAACTATTCATTTAATTAAACCATTTATTCACCTTGTTCATTTCTAATTAAGCATTTGTGCTTTGTTTGTTGACATACATACTTGACTGCAGGGAATATCTGAAACAGCTCACTCATAGAATAATAGAATTTATGAATTACCTCCTCTCCCACATCATGTATAATAAAATTTTGACATACAGTACAATAAAACGTCCATTTTACGTACCTGTTGATACCAAGGGGTATTCGTAAATTGAAAAATTTTTAATCTAGATTCTGTATCTATTGGTGTATCTCAATGTGCCGCTTTTTAAGACAGAGGATTGATCATAAACCCTTGATATGCCTGGCTGGTATGTTTTAGATAGTCAACAAAATGAGGAGTGATGATGAATGAGGGTGTCATTGGTTCGTTTGTGGCAGTTCGCTCAGTGCAAACTTGTCCAGGGTAGTCTAGTCGTGTATAAGGCATGCGTGAGAATAAGAATTACAATTACAAGTGTGGTAACGCATGATTGCCCAGAGTCCGTAGTCTAGTCATTTTTTTTATTAGCATCTAGCCTAATAATTTCCCTACTCTGATTTTGTATTTAAGAAATCAATTTTTATTAAGAATATAATATGCTTTATTACTTAAAAAATTTGACATTAGCAAAATCAACGATTTGTAAAACTGATTGTAAAATGGACGTTCGTAAAAATGTCTTACTGTATTAAGGAAATTCCCTTGCCTCAATGCAACACTAATAGAATTAAGATTGAGTTATGAGTTTGTTATCCTATTACTGCTCAACACAACTTTATTTTCGATAGTTAATGACTACTATTTTTTGTTTGGCACTTTATTAAAATTTTTTTGTGTTTTCCAATGCATATACTATATATGCCTTCACTTGATTCATTAGGGGTGAGGGGACTTCCTTGGTGGATGGAATGCTCACTAATCTTAAATTTAATCAGTCAGCTGTATCTGTCTTAGTGGGTTCCTTGGATCTATGTCACTTAGCTGGTGTTTGAGTACGGAATTTGTGGTTCTTGGGTCAGCGCTGTCTTGTAGGTCATTATGGTCTTTCCCAGTCCTCGAGACCACCACTTACCTGTACAATGTTTTCGTGTCAGGCATGTAATTGAAAATTTTCTTTTACAGAACCAATCACCCAAATTACACTATATTACTTGCTCATTTTGCTGTAATATGCAATTATTAAATTGAATTTAAAAAGTGTGTTCTCTGATTGTTATACTAGATAATTGGCAAAATAATAAAAAAAAAAATTTCAATGACTGAGTGTTTCTACTGTATCATTTTTTTGGCTGTAAAATTACAGGTAAAATTTTTTTAGTACACTAATTTCTATTCAAGTTATGAGCAAGTAAGTTTCAATGAAATATTTTTCATGGGACAATTCATCTTTAATTTCCAATGTTAATGTCAGAAAGCAATATACTATAGGTTTTCTCTCCCTTCCAAGGGGCAGATCCAATAATGTGTGTGGGGCATGATGCTAATAAGCTGTCTCTTATACACATCTAGATTTGGATAAGAGACAGTGATATAGGTGCACGTATATCCCGAATAATATAAAACAGTACGAAGTTAATCAAAATAAAGATGAACACGGTTGAAATTTCAGGATATAGATAATTTATTTTATGAATATTTCAAGAGCTCCTGCTCTCTTCATCAGCGGTAACCGTACTAAACATATAATAAAGTACTAACATACATTAGGTATGATATTAACTATGAAAAAATTATGTGATAACAATGTAAGAATAGAAAAGCTGGATATAAACTATAGCTGTGATGTCTAATAACAGTCAATGAATGTATAGCCACTTAGAATGCCAAGATCTTTATTAAGGCCTTGTTTATGGGTATTGAGGTGTAAAACCCAACGGGTACTGAGGTGTAAAACCCAACGCATCTCAGCACATCTTCTGGCTTTCGTTGTTATGTAACCATTGCCTATAATAATGAATCAAAGGTTAGATATTGAGTGGCCCGGTGAGTTAAAATGCTCACTGACTGTAGATTTTATATCTTTTTATTCCTAATGCAGCTTTTATGATGGTTCATTCTCGATCTTATGCTACAACCAGTTTCACCTTCATAATTACCATGGTTGCACAAATTACAAAAAATGATATACACAACATTGGAAGCTGAACAGTCTAACATCGGGGGCCGTATAAAGTGACTAGTGCCCGGTACTTCAAACTTAATATCAGTATTGATGATAGTGCAAAGTTTACACTTTCTATCTCCACATGGTCTGTTACCCTTTTCCTGGTTATGAGCCGGAGATAACAGTCTAGACGACGTTAATAGAGACTTAAGGTTGTGGGGCTGGCGTTGAGCTAGTACAGGTGTGCTCTCAAATGCAGATTTAATAGTGGGGTCTACCTGAAGGGTTTGTAGTCTTGTTTTAATGTGTTAGCAAATGAAGTAATCATAGGCTTATAATAAAAAATCATAGGTATGCGATCAGAGGTAGATTTATTCTTGTAAGTAAGGAGTTCTTGGCAGGTTTTAGACGAGGCCTTTCTAATTGCTGATTTGATGAACTTCAGTAGGTAATGACATTTAAGAAAATGGCTAATCAACGATGAAACTTGCTTCTGGTAGTCATCAGGTTCAGAACATATTCGCTTAAGGCGTAAACATTGACTGTATATAACAGTCAATGTAATTTTAACGATGTTGAATGGAAACTACTTAAGTCATCGTACTAATGGTTGTCAGTCGGTTTACTATATACAGAAGTACAAATTCGGCCATTATCTAGTTTAACATTAACATCTAAAAACGCAATTTCCTTGTGAGAGTGCTCAATAGTAAACTTAATAGAAGGATGATAATCATTAAAAAATGATTCCAAATGAAAAATACATCGTCTATATATCTAGAGTAATAGTCGGGTTTATGAGTTAGATCGGCCATTAAATTCTCTTCAAGTTCCCACATGAATACATTGGCATAGCTAGGTGCCATCTTAGTGCCCATTGCAGTCCCTTTAATCTGTAAGTAATGTCTGTCTTTAAAAGTGAAGTTGTTGTGGGTTAAAATGAATTTGATAATGGCACATATATCGGTGGCAGGTTCACTAGGTGCAAACTTTCGGATGAACGATTCACAGGCGGCTAATCATTGATCATGCGGTATATTGGTGTATAATGATGTTACATCCATGGTTACAAGCAATGCGTTTGCACTTAGATTTGGTATATTGTTGATCTTGTTTAAGAAGTGAGTAGTGTCCTGCATGTAACTATCAATATTGGTAAGCATAGGGTTGAGTATGGAATCAACAAATCCTGATAGTCGTTCAGTTAGAGTTCCAATTCCCAAAACAATGGGTCTCCCGGGGGGTGAAACATTGAGCGATTTGGCAAGATTGTAGATTACATCGGGATTGGTAGTTTCAGTTATATTATATTCGGTGTGCAGAGAGGTTTGTGCTTTCTTTATAAGTTTGGGAAGCTTGTGAAGTTTAGGTAAGCAATAAATCAAACCTGGTTTCGGTAGTTGAGGCAGTAGTGATTTAGCAGTGGACTTCATACCTTGGCTCAGGTCTTTCAACATCGCATTTGCTTCCTTCATAAATTGCTCCGTGGGATCTGAGGTTAGAGATTTATATGTAGATGTGTCATTTTAGTTGATTTCGTTAACATATTTGGTGGTGTCCAAGATAGTGAAGGTTCCCCCTTTATCAGCTGCTTTGATGACAATGTCGGTGTTCCGGCGGAAATCGTTAATGGCAGTACGTTCTTTTCGCGGGAGGTTTTCAGCGCTACAGTTCCCTTTGTTATTAACAATATTATTAAGGATGAATTTATCCAAGTGCGATTTAGCCGTGTTGACGAAGCTATCTATGTAACCAATTTCTATTTGCTGGAGGAGTGAATTGAAAGTTCTTCGATCTATTCTGCCTCATACTGCTTGGCTGAGTGTTAGTAGCATTGTTAGATTCCTTGAAAAATTCTTTGAGTCGGATCTTGCGTGTGAAGTCATCGAGATCAGCACACATATCTATAGCATCAAGGCTTTTAGTTGGGCAGTATGATAGACCTTTCTTGAGTTGAGACTTGATCATTAGAAAGTTCATAGGACGATAAATTAGCAATATCGTTAGAGTACGAATGAGTGGTTTTGATAACGTAAGACTGAAAACAGTTGAATAATAAATTGTTGTCGCATATATGTTTGAGAAGTGGGTCTGCTCTGGTGATTTTCTCGAATTTCTTTCGTAGGCAAGTGTGGAGTTCTTTCTCATAGACCGTTCTAAGGAAAGATTTTATTTCTTCATGTTCGGCACCGGTGACGAGATTAGACAATTCAGAATGTAAAGCAGATATTTGTTGTTTTGCTCTGTATGGCATATGCATCATTTGTGGCTTCACTCCGCAGTTTCTTTCCCAGTTCGTTACACAATACGTTAGTTCTAGTCGGGTTGGTGGATGTGTTAAATTCTCTTCAAGTTCCCACATGAATATATTGGCATAGCTAGGTGCCATCTTAGTGCCCATTGCAGTCCCTTTAATCTGTAAGTAATGTCTGTCTTCACTTAAACCCACAACAACTTCACTTTTAAAATTTAATGGCCGATAAACTCATAAACCCGACTATTACTCTAGATATATAGACGATGTATTTTTCATTTGGAATCATGGTTTAGATAAACTTATAGAATTTAAGTAATTTATTAATGATTATCATCCTTCTATTAAGTTTACTATTGAGCACTCTCACAAGGAAATTGCGTTTTTAGATGTTAATGTTAAATTAGATAATGGCCGAATTTGTACTTCTGTATATAGTAAACCGTAGTACTGTACTCTGACTTCAAGAATTTCCATCCGACATCGTTAATATTACATTGACTGTTATATACAGTCAATGTTTACGCCTTAAGTGAATATGTTCTGA